GCTGGTGCCCTAGCCGGTTGAGCCACAGGCGCCGAGCCATGAATTACTTTCTTAATAGCATATTGTCTTACTCTGTTTTGTGCTGCTATAATAGAATACCAGAGATTGGGTAATTTATGAAGAAAAGAAATTTATTTGCCACAGTTTGGGAAGTCCAAAGTCAAGGGACTGACACTGGGCAGGGCAGGGGACTTCTTGCTATATTATCCCTTGGTAGAAGCTGGATCATAGAAGGCCAAGGGAGGGCAAAAGAGAAAGTGAGAGAGGAAAGGGGGCGAAATTCAGCCTTTTATAATAAAATCAGTCCTGAGACAACAACATTAATCTGTTCATCAAGGCAGAGTCCTCATAGCCTAATCCCTTCTCATTAGGCTCCATCTCCTAACATTGTCACACCAGAGATTAAGTTCCCAACACATGTTTTAGGGGGGATATGTTCAAACCATAAAAGATGTTGATTCTGTTTGCTAACATTTATTTTAGGATTTTTGTGCCATTTGTGATATTTATTTTAAGTATCAATGTTATATTTGTTTCATAAAAATAATTGGAAAGTTTGCCTTTAATTTTTATGCACTGAAATAATTTATGTAGCACTGAAACTATCTGCTCTTTGAAGGTTTGTGTCTCTTGTGAAGTTCATTAGACCTAGTGCTTTTATTGTGGGGAAATTTCTTGAAAATGCCCTGTATTTCTTCTACAAAAGGAGGTCTGTTGAAGCATTCTATCTTTAATGGAGTCATTTTGGTAAATTTCATTTAATTTTTTTTTTTTTTGAGACAGTCTTATTATGTCACCCTCAGTAGAGTGCTGTGCTCTACAGCTCACAGCAACCTCAAACTCTTGGGCTTAAGCGATTCTCTTGACTCAGCCTCCCAAGTAGCTGGGACTATAGGTGCCCACCACAATGCCCAGCTATTTTTTGGTTTTTGTTGTGTTTGTCATTGTTGTTTAGCTGGCCCAGGCTGGGTTCGAACCTGCCAGCCTCAGTTTACATGGCTGGCACCATAACCACTGTGCTATGGGCACTGAGCCTCATTTACATTTTTAGATTTATTTACATAGGGATTTGCAAAGTAGTCTTGTGAATTCTTGAATTTTCTACTTCTTAACAGTTTTTTTCCCACTATAATTTTGTAGCTTTTATATTTGGGTTTCCTACCATTTCCTTGACTGAGTTAGTTGGTGGTTTGTTTTGTTAATTTTTTTCACAGAACCAGGATTTTAACTCTGTAGGTTTATTGTCTTTCTGGTCACTATTTCATTAGTTTCTGATTTTATCATCTTTATTTCTGTCCTGTACCTTATTTTGTTTGCTTTGTTGACATTTTTGTTTAATCTTTGGGTTGGAAATTTCATTTTTATTGATCTGAGTGTTTATGGCTATGAACTTATTATCTCTTACTGTTGCCTTAAATGTATCTCATATGTTATGTCTGGTTGTGTTTTCATTACATTAATTAGTTTTTAAGTGGGGAAAAGCTGAGAATTTCTGAGTAAGTACCATAACTGACCAAACCAAAAAATTAAGTTTAGTTCTAAGTGGGCTGTCCTATAAATCAATCCTTTCTCCTTTTTTTACATTTCTGATTCTGCTGCAAAAGGCACCAGAGTGGGTAACATGTGCATTACCTATTTTTTAAGTAGATGACACCTATCTATCCTCAGCCAATAAATAGTTACTGAGCACCTTTTATGGGCCAGTTACTGTGCTAGTCAGACCTGGGGGGGAAACAGTGACCAAGACAAATATGCTACTTGTCTTTGTAAGTTGCCAGTCTAGCCAGGAAGGCAATAATCATTTTTTAATAATTTAACCATTACACACGTGCCAAAGACACTTATGATGGAGGAACAGGTGAGAAGGAAAGGTGAGGGTGGCAGTTGGTTGGGAGTCCCCCTCATTGCCACATAATCACAGCTGATGCTTTTTGAGTGTTATACCACTGATGCCCTGTTAAGGGATTTGCATATTAACCCTAGAGTAGCCCCGAGAGTAAGTACTTTTACTCTCTGTGTTTTACAAAGCAGGAAACTGAGGCTGCAAGGGAAGTGTCTTGACTTTAGTCACACAGCTGAGAGTGGTTAGAGTGGGGACTTAGCACCACGCCACCAGCACTGTACAGTCTACATTACACCAGCATCTGTCACATCATGAGCTTCCAAGTAAGATTTGTTCTTTGAACAAGAGGGGGTCCTAGGCTTAAAAAATGTTTGGAAGCTAATGGCACAGAGAGGAAAATGCCAAGATCGGGACTGTAGGAAGGAATCTTTGGGTTGCCACTGGCAAAGTATAATGGGAACAAGCTCGGATATAAAGGGGGTGCTGTTGTCTGTGGTTTCCAAAGAAGGGCAGAACAGCCAGATGAGTAGCAGGCAGGTATACAGCTGTGCCGCCGGAGGACCTGCAGAGCCAGACCAGCCCAGAGGGCCCTCGCTGCCCAGGCCTCCTCCCTGCACATCCTCCTCCTCCTTTCTCGTGGCAGTGCCTTCCCTCAAGAGGGAGATCCTAGCTGCCAACACTGGAGAGTTTTCTTTGCCCCCCTCCCTTTTCTTTGCCTTTTCTTGTCTCATCTTGAAAGACCTCAGAGAAAGAGTGATAGGCCTGGCTGGACTCCAGTGCCCACTCCTGGGTCAGTAGGGTGAGGCCAGGCAAGTGGTAGGCTGTAAGAATATGGTGCTTTCAAGGTAGTGGGGTGGCCCAGGGTAAAGGTGGCACAGAAGACACAATCCCATAAGTCAGAAGACCTGGAACAGGGTTGCTAAGGCCCCTTCCTATTTCGGGAGCACATACAGTGGAAACAATAGAAATGAAGCAGCCCTTTCCCTTAACAGTGTTCCAGACCAATAAGAGAATTGGAGACTGTAACTCCCCAAGTATATTCTGTGCTAAGTTCCATGCTGCAGGTACATGCTAGGATGATGGGAGAGACGGGATTTAGGGAAAGTGTCAGATAAATAGTCCAGAAAAAGATTTTGCACTAGGAGAAACAGGAATTCCCAGGGTGGGAAATGGGGTGGAAGAAGGATGCTCCAGGGCAAGAGCATTTGAGGAACAAAAAGCAATGGGGGCCAGTTGGCTGTAAGGGTGCTAGTGGGGGGTTGCCAGGCTAAGGGGCTGAGACCTGAGTCTTTAAGCAAAGGTCCCAAACTATGGCCCCCAGGCTGAATCCAGCCCTTCCCCTGCTTTTGTGTAGCCCTTGATTTA